TATATTTGTGGATGATTCTCTCTCGGTGCTCCCCCTGCCTCTGTCTTCCTGCCAGGAGTGAGAGTAAGATCACTGATGATAGATACAGCCTATATTATGACAGGGCCATAACCTGGAATCTGGGGAGAATGATGTGAAACTAGAGGAGAGCTCTAAAGTTGTTGCTGTTAACTTAGTAGTGACAGTGTCGTGCAAGTCATGACTATAGTAAATCCCAGCAGATGCCACTGATGAATATGTATTTGAGCATCTTTGCGTGAAGGGCCCAGTGGAAGACTGTTTTTGCCTATGCCCATGTTAATTGATTCTCAAGTGATTATTAGGCAAAATTTTCAAGAAGTTTTAGAACAGTACTGAATACTAGAATTTAATAAATGCACGGTAAGGAAAAGTATAATTTATCCTTGAAAAACTTACCTGGATATAGATATGCATGTGAATCTATACATGTTCATAAATCTATTTACTTTTATTATAATTTAGGCATCATTGGTTCTAATTAGAAACTTGACTTGGCTTAAATCATATTTGTTGTGCCACAAAACGTATTACTCTGAAGAAGAAATTGTCTTTGATTTGCCCTCTATATATCATGGAAATAGATGCTAGCTCAGGAGCTTCATGAATTAATCATAGGGATGTTCCTTAGAAATCCTTTACCTAAAATGTAAAATCAGATACAGTACAAAAGGCAAGAGTTATGATTAGCTGTTTTTCTCCATGTGTGAACAGTTCCATAGTCTAATCAATGCTGAGAGAGAAAGTTCTTTTTTTTTCTATTGGACAGCTGTGGATAGGCACTGGCTTAGAACTGGAAGGCCAGGTGCTGTTTCTGGCACACTCATGTGGTGTCTTGGTCCCATCATTTATCTTCTTGGACTCACTCTCTAAACTCTCATTTATAAAATGAAGGTGATAATTTTGCCTCATAGAGGGATTTTAAGGATTATATTTTCTAAATCCTTTGTCATTGTAATGGACTATGCAAATAATTATTTGCTGCAATTTTTACTACAATTTATAAAGGGTACACATGGTATAAAATATGTAGCACTTTATATATCTGACTCTATTTTCTTTTGCAAACGACTCCATTTAATAGTGTTCTTGTTATCAATGACTACTAAGCAAACCATCGCACAGGAGTAGCTAAAGTCTTTCCACACAGATGTGTGCATCAGGACTTTGAAAAGTCTAGGGCTGGGAGGTGTGTCTCTGATCCACTGCGGTATCACCTAGGACCAGAGGATCCATGCCCAATATGGGCTCTTCACTCTTAGGTCTGTGTCTCAGTGCCCCTAGCTTCTCTCTCTCTCTCCACCTTTAGGGCATCTCCATGTTGTCACTCTTCTTATATGGTGACTGGCTTCCAAGAAAGAGGAGCTATCAAGCCAGTTAAGGGCTGTGCCCAGAATTGGCACATAATCTCCACTGTATTCCACCGACCAAAGCCATCAAAAGGACTCCACAGGTGAAAAAGGGAGGAAAAACACTCTATCCCTTCATAGGGTAATGCTCAAGTGAGCTGGATTTTAAATCAGATCTGACTCTTTGTCTTCTGTTTATGTTTTTTTTTTAATACATGACACACAAATACATATTAAATACCCAAAATATTATATGCAAAGGCAACAATTACCTTAACATCTAGAAATATCTATTCACTTGACATTTGCTCTTGCTTCTGTTACATTCGCAATTGATAGTTGTATAATCACCCTCAGGTGTTTAAAGTATATAGAACAACAAGATGGGGTATTTATATTTTATTTTCACTAAGCTGCTCTCAGTCTGAGGAATAATAGAAGTTTGATGTCTACAGCAGGGGATGATGAAAATATTTTAAGACATGGGTACTATGGAAGCAGCTACCTCCTCTGCATAAGACTAGTCATCCTTTTCATAAGTTTGAAGTATGGAAATACGTTTGTGGTATATATGATATATCAATGTGGGTGATATGACCACTTTATTCCTTAGAATAACAAGAATACCACAATCCTTCATTATGTCAGGAAAGAGAGGATTTTTTGTAAACTGTCATGAGTTTTCCTTAATGCTCAGAGATGTAATAGCATGAGCTCTACAATAGATTTAGTAACCATGACAAAAATCTCACTGTGACCATCCTTCAGTATTCTCAAATAGACATTGAAGGACCATTTGACCATTTGCTCTGTGTGTGTGTGTGTGTGTGTGTGTGTGTGCATTTTACCTCATCATTTTCCATCCATTCTGGGGAAACTCCGGTATCAATTTTCCTTTGCTAATGGTCCTTAGTTTTGCCTTCTTGATGTCCGTGTCTATAGCTTTCTTTTCTCATCTTCTGTTGACTCCCTTCCTGATAGGATCTGACCTTTCAGTATAGTAAAATACACCATGGGAACACTCACATCCTGTGAAATTGTCAGGACCTTGAGCTCTGCGTTGGGGCCTCCCTTTTCCTTCTGTCTGTATTCTCATTCACTCCTATGCTGTGAATCTGATTTATATGAAGGGGATCACAACTTCAAATATCTGTAAGTAACTCACAGTAAACCTAGATGAGTAAGATGAATAATGCAGACTGGATACAAATACAACAGGGTCTTCAAGGTTACCTTTTATTCCCTTTTATCTGGTTCAGATGTGAGTAAATAGAAATATTTTCTACTGTAAGAAACAGTTTCATCAACAGCAACTGACACTCAGACTTGCTGTAGAAGAGTGAGGAACAGGAAGAATAGGAAACAGTGGAGAGTATGGCAAATGGAAGGACAAAAGCTATATAGAAGAGGTGTGGCCTTTGCTCAGTTTCAAGTCACTGGAGACACGTTGAGAATACAGACTAGCATTACCAGCTCTCATTTTATGTAAATTCTCTTGAAACTTAAATGGTGATGACTATTTAAAAACAAAATACAGTTCTGTGTAGGTCAAGAAAATATTTCCGTGGGTCAACTGTGGACCACTAGTGTATAAATCTGGTCTTGGCTCTTGACTTTTATCTTTCTCTTGGGTTCTAATGCATACCCAGCTACTCCTGTGGCATCTTTTTATCAAATACCTAAAATCTTTCATGGATTAACATATCCAAATAAGAGCTCTTACTATTTTTCCCTCAAATTTTCCTATCTTAGGAAAGCACGATCAGCTTAGCAATCTACCTTTAATCATCTTCTTACTCTTCTTTTCCATAACCCAGTTCTTCAACAAGTTAGGTCATTTCTAATCTCCAAAATATAGCTAGAACACATCTACCTCTTTACATCTTCACTACCACTTTCTTAATCTTTGCTTAATTTCACATTTGTGGACAACACAATAGCCTTTAGTCTTTCTGCTTCTATTCTTCCCTCTTTTTAATATATACTGTATCAGCACTGGAGAAATACCAGATGACAATGACAATAAAAATGTTATTCCTCCCCTAGAATTTTTCAGTGAACTCCCATTGCAGTTGGGGTAAAAGCCATGATCTTTTCCATGTCCTACCTCTTTATAACACCCCACCCCATTCACCATTCTTGAACCATATTAGTCTTCCCATTGCCATTGAAGAGGGCAAGATCTTATCCATCTCAAGATCAAAGTGTTTGCTTTGCACCTGGTGCCCTGAGTAGTTGGCTTCTTCTTAATTTTGTGTCTCAGCTCAAATATCTCCTCAGAGACATTTCCTGACCATCTTATCTACAGTAGCCCCCTCTACTCAGTTTCTCTGTATCACATCGCCTAATTTATTTTCTTCATTAGTACACTACTGTTATTTTATAGCTGTATATATTTCTTGACTATCTATAATCTCCCCACTGGAATATAAAATCTATGAAGGCACAGATCTCATGTGTCTTGTTTGCTTTAGTAGCCATAGTATGTAGCCGGGCACTTTCCAAATAAATATTTGAGGGAACAAGTGGTTTGAATACCTATAGAAACACATTTGGCATGAAAATATCACCAGTATCTAAAAAGCCTCAAATTCTTAACATGTCCTGTGTTACCTGGACCTACCTACATTGATCACTGCAGCCAGCACCAACTTTGCTAACTCTTTGTGAATCAGCCATGTAATTCCTCACTTAGAGTGTAATACATGCTATTTTTTCTGCCCAGAATGATCGTTCAACTCATATTGCTTTTAGCAAGCTCTTATTTTGTTTGTCCTCAAATCTCAACTGAATGCTGTTTCACAGTGAAGATTCCTCTGCCTGCCTCACATCCCACCTCCTGAGGCTTACATAATCCCGCCCATATGCTTTCATATACTTCTCCTTTGTATCCCTGACTCCAATTGCCATCATCCCATTTTCTTATCACTTGCTTACCATCTGTAAGGACCAAGTCTGTCTCATTTGCTGTAACATCAGTAGCTTCTTACAAACTTCCCAGAGCAGAGTTGCTGCTAAAAAAATATGCCTTGACAAACATTTGTTAATGAGTGGTAAATGAAAACACAGGACTCACTTTTCTGCCATCTGTGTTCACTCAGAGTACAAATTAATTAATAGTAACAGAAATTAATTAACTTTTCCCCCTAAATTACTGATATATGGCCTTCATTCCCTAAAAAAAAGAAAAAAAAGTCCTCCTCCATTAATTTTAGGAAATCATGAGGGATTTTTCACATCTGCTAGAGAGCCACTGCTGTCTTCCTCCGTGAAGTCTGCTGTTTTCTCTCCTCCATCCTGCCCCACAGCTCTGTTAATGTTTGCCATCAAAGGAGCTGTCGGGAGGTATTGTGCCACCGTCCCCCAAGCTCCCAGCAAGGTAGAGTTCCATTTGTTACCTTTTGGTACCACTGCCCATCTCTGCCACCCTACGTGCTTCTGGCGCTCTTGAAGTGTTGAGTGTTTTCAAACATTTTGTGTGGACCCCCTCTGTTGAGTTATATCCAGAAAAGAGAAAAGGGTCCTCATTCTCTCTTGAATCACACCTGGTAATGAAAATGATATCTTGTAGACCAGCACTCTGCAGATTTTTTAGAAAAGATTATGTTCAATTACTTATTTCTTTATGCCTTTTAAAGAATAGAGGTGGCCACCTCTCTTAGGGTTCGGGCACAGATCCATGAAGCCCCAATGCAGTGACTGTTCTGTGATTTTCTCAGAACCACTCTATCCTTCTGCTAATTGAGGCTTTGATCTGGTTCAGACACATGTTTCATCCAGGAGGGTCTTCTTATATCACTCACACACATAGATTCCTGGTGAACATGTCTCAGGCATTTTGTAGACTTGGAACACGATGGAAGGTCCTCACAATCCTCTTCAAGTTTTGTTTCAGTAAGAAAACAAACATATAGAGAAGCCAGGATTCAGGACCTGTACTGGAATCTAATGGTAAAGGCTTTGCAATTGCAAGTGAGAAAAAATAATTTTTTTCTCCACTTGTCTGGGTTCTGGACTAGAGACCTCCTTGTAATAAAAGGCACATTAACAGGAGAAAAATAAATAGAAATCTAATAACATGCATATCTCCATTATACATGGTAGATATCCAGGAAAACTGAGTAGTAACTCCCAGAAATGGCCCAAGCTACCACCTTAACTAACATCTCCAACTGAAGACAAAAGATGTTGAAGGTTGGGGGAGCAGGAAGGAGGCCAGTTATGGACGTTACTAGGAAAAGCACAGTAAACAAGGTTAAGGTTTTTATGCAAATTTTATGCAAATAAATCCAAGTCTTCACCACTGAAAATAATTTCTGGAGATTTAGGGGCACCTAGGTGGCTCAATTGGTTAAGTGTCCGACTTCAGCTCAGGTCATGATTTTATGGTTTCTGTAGTGGAGCCCCACATCCGGGCTTTCTGCTGTCAGCGCAGAGCCTGCTTCAGATTCTCTGTCCTCATCTCTCTGCACTTCTCTGGCTGTGCTCTCTCTCTCTCTCTCTCTCTCAAAAATAAATTAATTTAAAACAATTTTCTGTTGATTTAGAGTCAGTCTTCTCTTCCTGGTATAGAGAGGCAGACACCCTTACAAATGGAGATTTATTCCTTACAAATGTAAATGTCTCTTACAAAAGGGTAATAACTTCTATTCAGCTTTCAGAGGTTTTCCTATTTCTGGTGTTTCTTAGAAATAATCAGCCAAAGATAATCCTAATACTAACGGGGCATATTTTGAAGTGACAAATTCTCTCCTTTATAATTCTAGCATGGTGAACCGCCCATATCATTATGTATTGTGACACTTTACAAAGGCAAAATAATTAATATGGTTTCAGCATCACAGAGCCTGTAAAGGGCCTAGGCTTCAGATATATTTATAGCAAATCCATCATAATATTCAGGGATCCCAGCCAAAGCCTCTTTCCTTCTCTCTTTTCCCATACCATCACTTGTGATTGCAAGGAATGCCATATGCTTATAAAAGGGAAAAATGCTGATGTGAGACCAAAGACAAGGAATGCTGTGGACCCTGTTCTTTTTCAGGGATTGTTTTTTCAATATGTAGTGACTAAGCTTTTCCATAGAAAAATTTCTCCGCTCAGATAAATCTGCCATACTTTATGACCGAATGCAGAACAGAGTGATGGACACTGAGCAGCCCAGAGACGGCCTGACCTGCCTTTTACTGCCTTCCAGCAGCCAATTTGAGCTCTGAGCAGAAAAATGCGTCAGTGCTTGAGAAGTACACAGACATCAGGTGAGAAATCAGAAGAGGTCTGCTGTTAAAATGCAAGAGTTGGAACAAAATAGAAATCTTACTTAGAAAATTAGTAGAGACACAACAACCTGGGAGAGCAAAGGGTTAAAGCAAAAGGGATAAAAATAATTAAGAAAAGCAAAGATGGACTGACGAAAGACTTTGCCATTTTTTAGGCCATGCTTGTAAAGAGAGATCAGTCGGAAAGTTGAATATGCCTGGAAAGAAAAGCATTAGTCTGCACAACTTACTCTAGCACAGATTTCGTATGTATTACTTTTGAAATATTTAAATATATTGTGTAATTTATCAACATGTCCACATCACGACTGAAACTGTATGCTTTGTACGTCTTTGTTGATTTTCACTCCATACATGAAGTGATGGAAGCTAATACTTCATGCCAGTGATGAGGGGGTTGTAAGGAAGCAGTATTTCACAGCAGGTGTCTATGTATTCAGAGGTGCTCATTCTGATTCTTGTAATTAAATCAAATTCCCACTAGGGGGAGTAAGGGAATAAATCTCAAAGCCCTAAATCCAGGCACCTTTCCAACTGAAGGTACACTGGATTCCGCAGGGAACTGCTCAGTATTTTTTTTTTTTCTGGTGAATCATTTGCAGCCTGCATTTCACTGTGGGAAGTTTCTTTCAGATTTATTTTCTCTGGTTTTTTAGCTGCTTTTTTTAGTTGTAAATCCATGCTGTGGTTGAGCAGTAAAGCAATATTCCAGCAAACTCCAGCAGGAAAATATTTTCTTACAGGATTTCTAAAACCTTGCATAATCAGTTACAACAGAGCCTTCCCCAGTGCCTTGCCAAAGGTAGCACTCTGGTAACTAAGCCTGCGGACTGGAAGAGGGAATAAAATTAGATGGGTAGGGGGCCCACTGCTTAGAGAAGCTCTGGGAACAGCTTAATGACTCAGAGTGATGAACTGAGGAAGCGGGCAGGTCAGCACAATAGATGCAATTAGCAAATGCAATTAGCATCAGCATATAAATCCCTCCCCCTTGACAGTATCTTTTGTATTGCCACGGCAACCCAGGCAGCCTCCTCCTTTCCCACCTCCTCCATTCCAGCAGCCCCAGCCTCCCTCTCACTAACTGCTTCTGCCCTTGGAGTTGATGTTAAACAGAGTGCACCTGGATTCACATGTGTCTGGGGGTGGAGAAACAGAAAAAAGAAAAAACATAGGAGGGCGAGGACCTAGGCTTTGCATTTGAGCTTTTTTGTTGTTGGTTCACAGTCTTTTCAGGATCTAGCCTGTGCCATTTGGGGAATATTTTATTCCTGTTTGTGATTGAAACTATTGGCCTCAGCTGGCATGAGACATACCTTTGTTTTCACCTCAACCTGGGAGTTTGCAAATGGAGAGATGTGCACCCAAGCACTTCACTGTGTGTTCTAAGTGTGCCTTTTGGAGATTTAAATCTTTTATGAAGCTAGCTTGTTGTAAGATAAGCAGTTTTTATATTTCATTTCATGGTTGCTCCTAGCCAGAAATTGTGAAGAGCAAGGTAGCAATTCAGGAAAAGAAAGAGCAATACTAATATAATATATGTGACTATATATTAGTAACATCTGAGATGTGATATTAAAAGAAGAAGGTGGGGCACTTTAATTTTCCGATTTAAACAATTTTGGGCACCTAGGTGGCTCAGTCAGTTGAGCATCTGACTCTTGAATTGGCTCAGGTCATAATCCCAGAGTCATGGGATTAAGCCCCTTATTGGGCTCCATGGGGATATTCTCTCTCTCATTCTGCCCTTCTCCTCCACTTGTGTGCTTTCTTTCTCAAAAAAAAAAAAAAAAAAAAGAAAAGAAAAAAAGTAAAAAGTATACAGTTTTGCTTTTTATTACCTAATTAAGCAAATATGTAAAACTTTTCAAAATATGAAACTACCCCCCTGGGCGTTTTTTAAGTTTTTTAAAGATCAAGACTTTCTGATCAGTTGGGGAAAAGATAAGATATAGAATTAAATGAAGCAAATATCTCCAATAGTAGCAAAACCTTAACTGAGCATTCTCTGCATGCCAGGCAGTATTCTAAGAACTCATGTGATTCTCACTACAACCCTAGGATGTAAGTAATTTTATCTTAGATTTTTTTCAGATGAGGGAACTGAGGAATACAGACAACTTGGCCAACTTACTTAGCACTGAAAACTACCATGCTATACTGCCTTTCATTTTCAGTATTCTCTGGTGGCATGATTGTTTATGACAAAAGAGAGAAAGAACAAAGGAAAGATAGGCAGCTTGATAACACAAAACATAATTAACCTTCATGTCAACTTGACTTTGGTCAGTAAAGAATCTTATGAATTCTGAAGTCAGCAAGAAATACGTGCACAGTAAGGCTTCACTATTCAATATCTATCAGTCCAGTGTCTCAGTCTCAGGACTGACACATAAAATAGATCTACTGAGAGCTACCTCTCTTCACCCAGGCCTCTTTCCTTCAGATCGTCATCCTTCCCTCCCTGGACCCTCTGTTAGCCCCCCCCCCCCCAACAGATTTGGATACTCCCTTCCTTCCTGATAGAGAGGAAAGGACTTAATAAACTCCCTAAGATAGCAGCTTAGTTGCACACTGCCTTTTTCCTAGTGGTATTTACCCTTTAATAAAGGACCCAAGTAGAAATGAAAATGCTTTCATCAAAGACAGTTTCTTTATGAAATAGTGTGGGGATGGGATTTTTACTGCAGTACCCTGACTTGTACTCTGTCATTTGCCTTTCCATCTAAGCCTCAAGTGTACTTTTCTCCACATATGTCACAGATATAGTACATACACATGTATAGAAATGGGGACAGACTTTGTAAAAAATACTTCACATACCTGCAGTGCTTCCTCATGAGTGAGCTAAGTCTTGGCTAACAGGCAATATAGCCCTGATGTAGGCCTCTCAAATTTCTCACCTGGTATTCCCTCCAGGGGCTGTTTAATCAGAAAATAAAAAATTAAAAAAATCTATTACTCACTTAATTTTTTTTTCAGTTTTATTGAACTATAATTGATATGGTAACACATGTACATTTAAGATGTATGACATGTTGGTTTGATACACTGATAAACTGTAAAATGATTACAACCAAAGCGTTAGCTAACACCTCGATCGCATCACCTAATTGCCTTTGCTTTCGCATAGAGAGAACATTTAAGATCTACTCTTTCCTACTTACTTCAAAGTTGAAGTGGATAATGTGGTATTACTAACTAAAACCACTATATTGTACTCTAGATCCCCAGAACTTACTCATTCTGTAACTGGAAATTTGAACTCTTTGACCAACATCTCCTCCTTCCTCTCAAACCCCAGTCCTCGGTAACCACTGTTTTAGTATCTGACCTCTAGTATTATGTGAGGTCAGCTTTCTGTAGATTCTATGTGTAAGTGATATCATACAGACTTATTTCTCTGAGGGTAATGCCTTCAAAGACCAACCATGTTGTCACAAAGGACAGGCTGTCTTTCTTTGTCATGACTGCATAATCTGCTATATCCATCCATCTGCTTTTCATTCATGTGCCAACAGACCCTCAGGTTGTTTTCATGTCTTGGCTGTTGTGAATAATACTGCAGTGAACATGGGAGTTTATATATCTCTTGAAGGTACCATTTTTATTTGCTTTGGATACATACTCAGAAGTGAAATCACTGGATCATATGGGAGTTCTATTTTTTTTTTTTTAATTTTGTGAGGAACCTCTATAGTGTTTTACACAGTGGCTGCACTGATTTATATTCCCACCCCAATGCATGATGGTTCCCTTTCTCCACATCTTCCCCAACATTTACTATTTTTAGTTTTTTTTTAAACCTTTATTTATTTAAGGAATCTCTACACCTGACATGGAGCTCAAACTCATGACCCCAAGTTTAAGAGTCACATGCTCTTCTGACTGAGTCATCCAGGCACCACTTATTTCTAGTCTTTTTGGTGGTAGCCATCCTAATTGGTGTGAGGTAATATCTCTGTGGTTTTGATTTGCATTTTCCTGGTAACTAGTGATGTTGAGCACCTTTTCATGTATCTAAACGATATTTGTATATTTTGGGGAAAAAAATGCCTCTTTAGCTCTTCTGCCTAGTTTTTAATCAAATTGTGTGTTTGTGTGTCTGTGTGTGAGTGTGTGTTGCTATTGAGTTCTAGGACTTCTTTATATATTTTGGGTACTAACCTCTTTACATTTTAGTTGAGCTAAAGCTAAAGTGAAGAATGAAACAGTAAAAACCAAAAGAAATGAGTAAATCATTTAGTACAAAAAAAAGAGCCCTAGGAAAAAGAAAGCAGTAAAGGAGAAGGGAGGGCCAGGAAGTTACAGACTTTAACAGAGTGGTCAGAGGTAACCTCATTGAGGGGTGCTTAGGTGGTTCAGTCACTGCCGTGTCAGACTTCAGCTCAGATCATGATCTCGTGGCTCATGAGTTTGAGCCCCGTATCAGGTTCTCTCCTATAGCCGAGAATCTGGAGACTGCCTTGGATTCTGTGTCTCCCTCTCTGCCCCTACCTCCCACCCCCTCTCGTTTGTTCTCTCTTTCTCTCAAAAATAAATAAACATTTTTTAAAAAAAGAAGCAATCTCACTGAGAAATAACTTTTGAGAAAATACTTGAAAGAGGTGAGGTAGCAAGTCATGCAAATATATTTATGGAAGAGCTTTCCAGAAAAAAAGAACAAGTGCATACATCCTGCAGTGTGAGGAAGCTGATATCCATGAAGGACACCAGTGAGGCCAGAGTGGGGTGAGGGAGGGTAAAAGGCAAAGTCAGACAGGACACTGATGAATGGGTAAAAGTCACAGTCCTGGTTTAGGTGTACATTCTGAGAGAGATGAGGAATCAGTGGAAGGTTGTCACCATAGTAGACACCTGTATTGACATGTCTTCTTTTGGAGAATGGACATAGAAGGTAGGATGAGAAGCACAGAGGCCAACTAGAGTCAGGCTACAGCAATAAAGAGATGAACAATGATCATAGTTGGGATCAAGATGGTAGAAAAAGGGATAACAAGGATGGTTTCTGCATAGGCATATGTGCGTGTGTGTAGCCCCATAGGAACGAGCAACAGGGTGAATGTGGCACTTGCAAAAAAGAGGAGCCGACTGCAGAGTATATTCTTTAATTAAAGGGTTTTGTGCTTTCTTAATCATGATTAGTTAGCACTTAGTGCAGTGCTACATGTAAGGTGTCAAAAGTGGGCTAAATATAGAGAAAAGTATTCCATAACTTTTTTAAGGGCCATGGTTCTATAGTGATTGAGTTTTCTACTATGAAATGAGGTTGGGTTCTACATTCTAATCCCTGCTCTGTTGGCATCTAATTTTGTTACCTTGGGCAAGTCACATCATCTTTCTAGATCTCGTTCTGTTTCAAGGGTAAAAGTAAGTGGCTTTACCAGATTATCTGAACTACATTTCAGATTCATCATTTTGTAATTCTTTGCGTATGTTATCTGATGAGGCAAACAGTTCACTCTTCATATGTAATTGAGAATAATTATAAACATGTCACACAGAAGATTATCAAATGGCTTTCTGTCAAAATGAGCTTAAGAACTATTTTATTTTAGAAACAAAAGCAGGATTATTTTAAAGCATCACTAGTCCATAAATTGTAGACATTTCTAAAGGTCTGATTATTGAGCCATAGAAATAAGATGCGTATCAACATTTACAAATAAGATGGTATCAATATGTTTTGTAAGTTTGAATAAATTGCAATTTTTGCTTCCCCCAAGGAAACATATATCTGTTGGTCCTTTTGACCTAATTGCATACCATCAAGAAGAAATGTCAGGTAAAATCAAAGGCATTAGTTTTGTTTTGTTTCAATGTGTCTGAGTAAGAATTAAAGAAAATATCACATTAATTAAATTGATCATTGGCAGATTCCTATTTGTAACATCCATGAACTTAGTTCTGTAATATTAATTTTTAAAAATATTGAACGATTTAACTTTTCTGAACACAGAGGAGGTGTTCTGTGGTCAAAGTCAGCCCTCAATGAATAATTTTTAAGTAGTAGTTTTTTTTATCTTCCTCCTTATAGAATATAGTTACATATTTTCAAGAAACTAATTTTTTATCAATTATTCTTCTAGTTTTTTTTATCTTCCTCCTTATAGAATACAGTTACATATTTTCAAGAAACTAATTTTTTATCAATTATTCTTCTAGGTGAGCTATTTAAATGCTATTCATTCTTTCATCCATTCACTATACATGTAATGGGCCTACTCTGTATCAGATGCCATTTTACCTGTTGAGGACAGAACTGCAAAGTCCCCAGGGCTTTGGAACTTTGCTTATGGTCTACTTCATAGTCACCTTCTATATGTCAAATGGACTAACTTAGAAGAAACTGGGGTTTAATCTCGCCTAAGGGTGTTTAGAAATGTAATTCTCGTGCACCTGGTTGGCTTAATCAGTTAAGGAACCAACCCATGATTTTGGTTCAGGTCATGATCTCACAGTCATGAGACTGAGCCCTGCGTGGAGCTCAGTGTTGAGTGTAGAGCCTGCTTGGGATTCTCTCTCTCTCCCTCTCTCTCTCTCTCTCTCCCCTTCTCCCTCTCTCTCTGCCCTTCCTTCACTAGCTCACACACACACATGCCCTCCTTCTTTCTCTTTCTCAAAATAAATTAATAAACTTAAAAAAATTATTAAGCAAACATTGCCTCATATGTTTAAATCTAATTATTAAGTAATATTTGTCTTTTGTCATTCTTTAACTCTTAGTAGCCTTGCCTAGCACTGCTAAGTAAACTGGAATTTTAAATTAATTTTCCATAGGCAAATGATTTTTCCGCCAGACTGATGGACCTCATTTGTGCATTTCAATAAACAAAGATATCATGGTTTTGAATAAAGAAATTGGATTGGGAGTCAAAGCTCCAGCTCCAGCCCTGTCATGTACTGCGGATGCAAGCAAGTTGTTTAACTTGTCTGAGCTGAGGCCTCATATGCAAAATGGTGTCTGTAAATGAATGCCTCTTAAGATTTTCTTAAGGCTCTAGTGAAATAGTGTATCATATTATTCTAAACTCTAAAAGAGTCCTAGCATGCTGAAGTCTAAAATACTAATTCTTAGTTTTAAAAATAGCCATCAAATTTGTTGTAGACCTGTGACATAATACATACACATTAAAGAGAGTAAAAAGATACACAGCTTCTAATTAACTTGAAAATTTTAATCATCACAATACTTCATTCATCAGACATATCGAGTGAGAGAATTCCTGAAAATGTATCAATTCATTTCTGTTTTCTTCAACTTGGTACTGGTAAATCAGAATAGCACACTCAAAACAGAGTGTGACAGAAAAGAAAATGTGCTTAGCTCTGTTTATCTAGAAGAGGATAAGCAAGAATAATTCATTTTAAAATGAGAGTTTTATGCATCCCAAGCAACACAAATTACTTAGGAGCACATTTTTTTTTCCTCATCTCTAGGTTTATAACACCCTTCAGAAAATTACTAAAGGTGACAGAGGTGTTCTGCAGGTGCTATTGATTAACTGATCAATGAGATAATAAAATAAGGTACCCACTGAGATTTTAGAGTCTTAATAGAGAATGGAAAATGAACAGCACTAACCAAAAGTCTATTCCTACAGATAAGTTAAAATGGTCTTTTAACCTCCCACAATCAATTTAAAGGCTCCACTGGACAGAATATAAATAATGGCTCTGCCCAATGTAGAATGAAGCATAGGTTAACTACTAAGTGCATATCACTCAAGCAGAGCAAGCCATCATTTTTAGCAGAATGTTAGCCTCATATTTTACTTTCTCTGTCTCTGATAACATCCTATTCTAGTCGCTTTCTAAGGAAAGTGTTTTCTTTTAAAATATATACTTGAAATATTTTCAGGGAAGCATTTTATCTTTACCTATTTAGCATTCCTCATAAATAGTACAAGACTTTATGATGATATCACAGAAAGTAATGTCTGAAAGGAGAAAAAATATATAAATATGATGGAATACATTATTAGCTAGCATTTCTTCTTATGAAAGACCCTGGTGCCTAGCTATGTGATCATGAGCCACATTAGAAAATAACTCACTAAGTTCCCATGTTTGCTTGATGAAGTACATAACCTTTATGGATCTGGGAATTACAGCAAGAAATAGACTAATACATATCGACATTTAAGTGACATTCAAAAAGTGAACAGAGGAAAAACAAACAACAGATACAAATGTCATAAATGGTTGACTTACATTGTGTTTTATCACCATTTAAATAAATTAATCCAATAATAATAGTCTCACATATAA